GGATGAAGTCCTGTGTAACATGCTCTAGGTGAACCTGCTTTAGCAGGGGGGTTGGACTGGATGATCTCCCAAGGTCCCTTCCAACCCTTGTGATTCTGTGATTCTGTAAACCAGAAACAGAGTGGCCTGAAAGACAGGGCACGCTCACAAAATAAAGATATTTCTTGTCACTAAAAAGTTCAATCTGATTTAAGAAACACAAGTGAGAAACTCCATTTAGGCAAGTACATGCCTTTCTGAGTACTTTTACACTAAATCAATACAAGGTGCAGCCCAAGATGCAGCATCATGTGCTGCTCTAAACTTGAAGGACGATGAGGTGAGCCTATACGGGTTAGCTGGCGTACAAGAGTAACAACTTCATTTCTGGTGATACACAGTAATTTAAGTGTAGTTATGAAAGCAAAGTTACCCAGCTTACTCTTTGTTCCTTGGTTTCTCCCCAAAACATGAATTAAGGGGCATGCAAACCCCTAACTGAGGGACATATATGGTCTCATCAGAGCTTCTAGATATTCCGCATCATTTAGTATCACAATTCTAGACTGGAGCTTCAGTTCACTTCGACACATGTCCCACTCTTCATCAAGCACTGGGCAAGGGGGCAAGTCAGATGCCTGAGAAATACAGAAGTGGTTGTCATTAACATACAGGTAATACTGTAGGTATGTGTGGTCTCTCTCAATACTTCTATTTCCTCATCCGTCCACAAAAAAACCCTAACTTTGCCTTTCAGACAGACAGGATACATTTTGTAGAGAAAGATTTAAATGTATTTGTGTGACAAAGAGAAAAGATAGCTTCACAACCAAAAAGTAAAAAGGAGTTATTTAGAAGAAAAAAGATGCACTTCCCATAAGAAAAAAAAATTCAGATGCTGCCATAGTTAGATATTCAAGTATAATTACCTAAAGGTTTTAATTACAAGTGTTTAACACTTACACAGACCTGTTTGTTAAGAGAAATGAAAAAGAAAAAAAATACAAATATCCCTTTGCTGTATTCTTCAGCATTATAATGCTATTCATAGCACCAGAAAATTTGTTTTCATAGACAAAAGATATTAATCTATTTATGAGGTTGCCTCATTTGATGAGTAGCTCCTGCGGCCAATCCTTTCCTAGTTTTAAGAGAAATGTCTTCTCGTAATAGTTATTTCAAAGAAAACTAGCATGTGCAGGCTGGAAAATGCCAGTGAATTTAAAAAATACAAGAACCCAGGCCTCAGAGGCAAGCTTCTGTGAATGCATTTCAAGATCTGGCCTGATACCAGCTCAAAGAAGTTCTACAATTTATCAGATCTTCTGTTTAGATTTTGGTGAGCGCTGTCTGTGCCTAATGCACCAAGATTTTTTTTTTTTATTTTTTTTTTTTATACTGCAGAGAGTTCAAAAATATAAAATAGTGATTCCAGTAAGAGATGACACTGATGTTCTTTCAAACTGAATTTTAATAGAGATAAGGTTTAAGAACATGCATGCAGACCTAAACAAGTCCTGGAAATGTTGCAGTACTGTGTGCATTTCCTGGCATTTTAAATTATTCATTTGTATTAAAACTGCTCTTTAATTAACCTACATTTTTCCTGAACTCTTCCAAAGACTAAGGAAATGGTATAGAAAAAAACCTGTCTCAATGAGGCATTTACCAGACAGGGCTTAAATCCAAATCATTACACCCAAGAATGTAAAATCTCAAGTTCAAATCTATACTGGGACTAAGAAAAAGAAGGTATGAAGTTGGCATGCGAACTGGTTTTCTGTTTAGTAGCTTGACTATAGTGCACACATGCAATCATTCTACTATTTGCAAAGGATGAAGCTAAGCATTGTTAACTTCGCTTTCAACCTACTATTTTTTGCTTTTAGATAGCCAGTTGTTATTATGCGCTAAAATATCTGTTCTACCTGAAACAAACAAAACCCCTGCCTCTTACATGATAGTTTGGTAATCTTATCCAAGATTTGCGTTTGTTTGGTTAAACTATAAAGCTTCAGGAACATTTAAGATTACAGAGCTTAAACAGTAAGATATGCGGTATCCAGTTATCTACTATATGTTAATGCTCACAGACAATTCTGAGCTTCAAACAGAACTGTTAAAGAAAATGAAAGAACATTATCATAACTAAGCTGCTATTGAAATAACACTGCTTGTATCGATGAATCTGTTTTTAAAGGTCTACCATACCATCCTATTCTATGAATTACTATCAAATGTGGCTAAAAAGTCACAGGCCTTAAGTAGATTCAACAAGATCCAAAATTAATACCATGTACTGGAATCCCTACTTTTCTTTCATCTCTTATATATTTATCCAGTATCTTTGTTCTTAAATTGAAGTGTATGTATATGCATGTATATAGTCATGTCCACACGTGCATGGTGCATCCAGTCAAACTCTGAACGTTTCTAAGTGAACTCTGCTTCTTACCATGAGCTACATTCCTTCCTGTAAATGACATAACAGGGTATGTGGTAGAATTACAACACAGTCATCATATTATATTCTTTAAGAGAGATGTCCCCAAAGTGTGGCGGTAAGAAGTTCCCTCCATTACACAGAATATTTTGCTTGTGCCACATTTTCTGAAGACTTTCACATGGCCTTCTCTGTTATTTGTTCACTCATACCAAACCCAGAAACTAATAGTTTTACAAAACTGCTAAAAACGTGTATTTCATTTCTTCAACCCTGCCCTCTGTCCCTAAACACAAGTAGTAACTGTTTGGACGGAAAAATAATGCCTAGAGTGGCATTTTGTGAAAAGGTCCCCAAGCTCTGCATTTACAGACACCCCAGTATACGAGCTAGGGGCTCTCCTCATCTTTACTGACAGTTTCCACATATGAAAATGTCAGAACTGAAATTGCACAAGACTTCAGTACTGCATGAAGCGCATTAGTGCCGAACCTGAAGAATATATAGTTGGTGTCAAAAATGGGAAGAGCATGACAACACAATCAAGTCACTTCAATGCATCAGCATGCTGATTATTAGTCTCATTGCTCAGACAAGGCCACTGGAAGAAACCAATTACCACTTTTTATTTTAGACCTAGAAGCCTTTTGAGAAACTATAGGCTGCAAACCAGCTGGCACTGCATCACTAAAGGACGTTAAGTAAGAACCCATAAATAACCTTCCACAGACCACTGTGAGAAGTGCATTGTAAACATAAATAAAATTAAGCACTTTTATGTAAGACAGAATGCTGGTACAGCAGTCTAGAAAGTTATGTACATATGGACATCACAGGACTTACACTGTCAGCAACTGGCACCAACCACAAGCCAGTGGATATCACTGGCAAGGCTCTGCCCCTTATTACAGTAAGCAAAAGAATAACAGTAACAAACTTAGGGAAGGTTCTCTTTCCTGAGGAACCTTTATCCATTGCAGCACTCCAGTTTTGTGAGTGGGCCCACCATCTCTCTATAATCCCCAAGAGGCCACAGCTCTGCTGAGGCACATGGACTTCTAATTCCCCATTTGTATCCTCTGCCATATGGAGGTGTCAGGCTGCTTTCACAGGGAAACTGCAAAAGCCTCTGGCATTATGCTATTTCCCACACTTCTCTCTGAGCCTCACGCTTTCAGTTCTCTTCAGCTTATGGTCACTCTGCCCTGGTATCTGTAGTTTAAAACACTCCTCACTGGGTTAGCAAGCCTGTTGGCAAAGATGCTCTTGCCCCGCTTTGTCAGATGGAGCTTATGCCTGCCTCACAGTACCCAATCACTTAAAAGAGGACCCTGTGGTTGCAAAAGTCAAACCCCTGCTTGTGACAACAGCTATGCAGCCAAGTGTTGACTCACTGGAGATGTCCTCTCCTACGTGAACCTCTCTCCTTCACTGCTGGGATCAAGGAAAACACCACCTGGGCCTCCCAATGCCATGTAGCCACTCTTGATATATTCATGGTCACCTATTTCAGTAACATTAGAACCAACACAGGTAAGTGAGAAAAGGCAGTGTTCTGAATCTGGACAAACCCTAGCAGTCTCTCCACAACCTCCTGGACCTCAACCCAAGGGAAGCAACAAAACTTGAAGAGGGAATGCAGCAGGAGACAGCGTCCAGTGATGATGCGCATTTTTCTTTTGGTGCAGACACTTGATTCAGGCTCAGCTGACTCCGACACCTCCCCAGACTGAGCTTGTTCTTGCTCACCCATTTCCAGGGCACTAAATCTGTTCTCTAGCTCCAGTTTCTGTTAGAAGTCACAAGTTTCCAGCCTCCCTCCTCACAGGAGTCTTTATCCTTATCCTCTAACTGCTTGAAACATAGTCTCTCAACTGTCCCTCCTTCATTGCACTGTGGGATTTGGGCTCTGTCTTCACTATGTTTGATGGTATGCAGCCTGCTCATCTCCTGCAGCTCCTTCATCTCAGTACCTCAAAGAAAAAACATCTCCCACAGGTGAGGCCTACTATATTCAGTCCATGTTATAAAATTAAATGTCAAACTTCTTTAGGACTTCTAACGAGCTTTAAATCTGTTGTACCATAAAATCCTCAGCATTATCAGATATACCAGGCAGCCAGGGGAACTTGCAGAAGTACTGTCTAAAGAACTTCAGCATACACACTGTGGAACGATACTACAGCTTCCTCAGATACTGGTAGGACAAAAAATTGTTCATAAAAAGATTAAATAAAAATATGTCACAGAAAGACATGAAGTCATCCACCTACATTCATTTAAGAGGTTATTACCTTCTTATCAGACACTATCACAGCTGAATGCAACTATGTTCAGCAGAATGATGTGAAAAGGATTACAGAAAGCATTTGTCAGAGCAGATAGTCAGAAGAGTGACTGAGCTCGCCTTTAAGTGAAGAACCCATAGATTTTCAACACAGCTTATGAAGAGACAAAAAAAATCCGATAGCAACATTAACTACAGTTCAGTGTGTCCACTCTAGATCTGTTTTCTGTTGCAAGTCACATTAAAATAGGTTATCTTTCCATTTTTATCCAATTAAAAAAACCACTGTACCTCACAGTAAAATCATAGGAGCAAGAGGCCAGTAATGTTGCATGGAATGGTGAAAACTGCAAGAAAACAGAACAGAACAACTTTTAAAGTAACAACATTGTGAACATATACAGACTTACTGTAAGTAGAAAGTTACCAAAGTTTAACTATTTAAACTGTCTTAGTAGGTACCACATCATGGTGCAACAGAACAGGCTACATCAAGAAATTTCCCCACCACGCTTCTAATTATAGGGAATGCTCTATGGGATCCTGGTTTAGTTTAATTTCATTACAGCAGTGCCAAACGACCCTGCTGTAAAGTTAAGAAGTTTTAGGACTGTCATATAAAGTCATTAAATTTTGCTTTTGGCTGACAAGCTGAGTATCATCTCATTATATAAAGTGAGTTTCAGTACAGCTATGTGACCAGTTTATTACTTTCAGGAAGGGAAAATTTATGCCATACTGCCTAAAACGTAAGATATTTTACAGCCGTCATTTCAATGTCCTAAAATTTTGAAATTATTTACAGAAATGGGAAAATTGGAGATAAGTTGAAAAACCGAAGGCACTGTAAATTCACCTCAATTTCCCCCTCTCCTGCAGGGCATTTTACAGGACACACTCTTCTACAGGTCTGCAGGACAGAACCGGAGCAATAAGGATGCAGTTAGGTGAAAATTGTTCACCTCGGCTCCAGCTTTTTGGCACCCCTCAGTTTCCAACTATTTTAAGGTCTGTATTTCTCAAGAGGAAATACAGAAGTCATTGACATAATTTCAGTTTGAAATGCAGGTCCCGCACATCATGGCTCACAGGCAAGATTCTTCCTGCAAGACTTCCAATATTATTCACAGTTGCTACAAAGTCAAAAGTTAAGCTATTGCCACAACTGCTCAAGTTACCAAGAGAGCAGTGTATGTTGAATTGAGGGGTGCGCATGCTTGAACTTTAACCTCCCTGGATTTCCTACAATTTTTTGGGAGTGTAGCAGAGTGCTACACATAAAAGTTGAAAGAATTTGCATAATGTCTTTCTGCTACAAAGCCAAGAGAGTATTTTAAAGTTCTGTTCCACTTCACTGTAAGTTACTACAATTTTATCATCTGAACAGTTGTATATAGACAGAAGAGACCAACATATCATCCAGTCTGACCTCCAGTATTTCACAGATCATTCATCCAAGTATCTTTTTAGGTAAACTGAAAAACTATAACTATATTTCAGTATAAGAGATTGAAGCCAGCTAAGAATATGAGACAGCCAAATGCACCAATGTCAAAATCTCCTGAAAAGGGTTCCAGACAACCTCGTACCCTGTACTGCAGTGAAAGACCACAAGAAATCTGCAGGAATCCTAACAGTATCGTATTGGGTAGAATTCCTTGCCAGTCTCAGATCTGACAGTCAACATGACCCTGAACAAGTGAACAGAATACAAAAGACAGACAACTGAAAAGTGTGATTTCATGGTTGGTTTAAGCTAATTTAAGAGTGCACTGCTGCCAAGACTCATGGCCTTCCCTTTCCTTTCCACTTCAGGCTGTGTGCTCCTGCCTCCCTCCTTTGTGTCAGGGCTTGCAATTGTGCGGTTGAGCAACAAATTGAGACAGCTTAGTGATCCAGACAGAAACTAGTCACTTTTAGGGACAGGATTTTCAGTCAGAGCAATCAGCTGAGCCAGCCTGCTGCACAGCTTTATAATTGCTAGTGTCAGCACAATGTAGGAGAAGGGACATTGGTAGGGACAGCTGCCTCTATTTAGGTAGCATCCTGGTCTCTCTCTCCATTTAGTGTGACTGGTGAGTTACACCACACAAGTGTAGATATGCTGCACCATCTTTAAATGCTGGCCCACATTCTCATATGTTATGTCCGCAGGGACCATGTTTATCTTGAAATGGAAGTTATAAAAGCCTGCTAAGACGGAACAGAAGTCATGTACTCTCACATACCTCTCCTTTGCATATGTATGCATATACAGCCGCCCCACCGTCTCCTTAAAGCCACTTAGGGAACTGATCTCAGAGGTTGGTACAAATAAAGTTCTACTGCTGACCAACTCTTAATAATCATTTCAAGGCATTTTAAGAAAACAGGGAGCATGATGGGCCACAAAATGGAAACTCAGATGAAACGGTATAAAAATATAAAAGATACCCTACCTGGTCAGGCCAGCAGTCTTTGAGCCCAGTGCTCTATGTCTACATGGCATCTTCTGTATTTTAGTTTGTACCAATCACCTCTGGTCACTAGATGCCACTGAGAAGAGTCAGGCTTTGATTTCTCTATTTCCCCCCAATCATTGGGGGTTGGACTAGATGACCTCTAGGGGTCCCTTCCAACCCAAAACATTCCCTGATTCTATGATTCATACACAGTGACAAGACCCTCCCTAAGCCTTCTCTTCTCTACACTAAACAAATCCCAGCTCTCTCAGCCTCTCCTGGTAGGATGGAGGCTCCAGTCTCTTAACTTTCTTTGTGACCCTTTGCTGGATTTACTCCAGTATGTGCATGTCTCCCTTGTATTGGGAAGCCCAGAACTGGACCCAGCAGTCCACATGTGGTCTCACTGGTGTGATGAGTAGTAGGGAAGGATCACTTCCTTCAACCTGCTGGCAACGCTCTCTTACTCTTCTAGCATCTGCTTATGGACCAGCTGCTATCTGTGAACCTGATGACACTGCCTGCCTATGCAACCTCTTGTGCAGAGAGCTAATTCAAGAAGTCTACCATCTGATGTGTAAAAGAAGTACTTCCATCTGTTTGTAAACTCATCTACTGGTTTCATCAAGTGTCCTTTAGTTCCATTATCACAGGTTATGGTGAATAACAATTCTGCATTCACTTTCTCCATTTTATCACAAAGACAATGTACTATGAATCCATTAGTGGCAGAGCTGTTTTTAAGAGATCCCACTAACTGTCAGAGAGTAAGAATATGATGGTCTGTATTGATTGATGCTGTATTGTTTCATCTGTCTTAATGGCTGTCAAATTGGAGTTGCAAAATGATCTTGTTTAAAAAAAAAAAACAAGAAAAAACCAAACTCAAACACCGCTGCTAAGCGCTCTTCTGCTATGAAGAACATTTCACAGAGCCAGATCAGAGCATGGTCACACAGGAATTAAATTAGAAAAAAAGACTGGACAGCCACCACCAGTGGGGATACCAGGCAAGGGTAGCTGGGACAAGGAGGAGCAGGAGCTTCTTAGCTTGTCTGGCCACAAACAGGATTTGTGATATGGAACCACTCCCTGAGTCATACCCTTTTCTGACAAATTGCAACCTAGGCACCGTAACTTTTAAAGATGTTAGAAACACATCAAAAATACCAAGGGCATGTGAAGCAAAATACTGACCCAGGATGATTTTCTTCTGCCAGTTCAGACTTCCTAGAAAATATTAATAAACATACCTGTTCCTGAAAGGCTTTAAAAGGATCAGGTATTATCTGACTAATATAAGAAAAAAAATAAGTGCTGACTAATATGAAAAAGATCTCATCGTGCATCTAGAAGAAATTCCTATCGGTGGGTGATCTAGTAGTATACAGATCCAGTACAGCCATCTGTAGCCTTTCACGCATCAAGTTTCAAAATCCCTTTGAATGTATTAACATCTTCTTTGTATATGCAAACATACATATTCACAACAAGTTCTATACCTTGCCTTATGTGAATATTATCCCTTTGTATGGAAAGAAAAAGTCAGAGCACCATTTAAAAATGAATAAGGGAAGGTATTTTCTCTATCTCAAGTTTCCCATATAACTTGGCTGAAGTAAACCTCCCAACCCTCTCTCAAGCTCTGAACACTCCTCATGGAAATATAGTGACTTTGAAGATGTCATTTACTTTGAAATCCCAGCAATCTAGCATGGGAAAACATTTTGATGTTTAGCAAACTGAAGGTTTCCAAGAACAGTCATTGTAGCATCTAAAATCTTCAACACCTGTTGTTTTTTTCCTAGTTATTAGACAATATAAAATATTACTGCTTTCCAGAAAAAATTGTGTAACAATTCAGTGGTGGTCAATGGGGAATAAACTACAACTTACTTTTACTCTTCTGATAGCATAGGTGTGACCAAGCAAGATGAACACTGGTTGCCGGATGTTCCGCAGATCCCAGCCTTTCAAGCTACAGTCAACTGCACCCGTCACCAGCAAGTTCTGATGATTTGATAAAACAAAGATAATATCCGGACAATTTAATTATTAAGTTGCAGTGATGCATATGCTGGCTACAAAAGTTAGATAAATCAAACAATACAGATGAATAAATCATAAATTGGGTCTCCAGTATTTAAATTAAAGAGAACAGAGAAATTCAAACTGTTTCTCCACTATGGAGTATTCTGTCCTCTATACACAAGAATAAGAAAAATCTCTGAACTACTTGGGCTGTCTATCTGTGGGAACAATGGTCTTCTTAAGATGTAGTAGCAAATGAGAGCAACAAAGCAACTAGACATGTTTTTATAAAGAGAAGATACATTAATGTTGCAGTAAACCCCCCACTATTCAATGAAAGTGATTCAATTAGGAAAATAGGTGAATGAACAGGTTTATACCTCATCATATTTGCACCAGTCACAGCTCAAGATCTCAGCCTGGTGGGCCGGTATCACAAATTTGACGCCTGGGGCTTTCACATCCCAAACTCTTAAAGTCTGGTCACCTGAAATAAAGAGAAATCGACTCAACATTGTTGAACCAGTTATGGGATACAGATAATCCACTAGTACTTAGCAGTCAACTGTTTCTTAGCTGAATGAAATACAAACTATTCTATGAGGACACTCATGCCAAATAAAGCAAGCCCATTATACACACAGAGGTCAGATTGATGCACAAAAGGAATCAGAACTTGCTATTGCTCTTTCATTAGGGAAAAAAAAAAAACCAAACCATCACTTCGTTTTATTACTAACACTTTCATTATTTTTTAAACTCTGATTTGATTAAAAGGAGATGTGGTAAACACTTAAATAACATTTAATTAAAGTAGTAGCTTCAGGTCCACATAAAAATTGACTTAGAAGACCAGAATCATGAAAAAACTTTCTCTGCAAGCCAGCTGAGAAAAAGTATCTATACGCATGCTTTTGGCATGCAGAAAAGTGAACAGTATTTAAAATGCAACTTATCTCCAGGTTCTTTCAATGAAAGGAAAATTTAAGACGCATTACCTGTATTCATCATGTGCAAAAACTGCAGTTATTCTCATTTATTGAAACATTGGGAGATAAAGTCATTCTGCTGTAACTGTTAAATGTATTAAAAGCAACGTCTGCTTTAACCTCGGAGCACACACCTGCACATGTGCGCATATACGCACACACGCAGAGGTCTTCAGAGAGCAATGAAGGGGGTCCAGCTTAACTTAAGAGCTGTGAATCTCACCTGAGCCTCTCTCTTTACCTCCAGCAATAAATTGTCTTCTACTCCTAAAGATCTGTAGCATTTCTGTATACCCTTCTTACAAATTCAGTTCCTGATGGCTTACAAAGACATGGAAAACTGCATCAGCTGACAAGACAACCATGCTTTTCTATTTTTTTAATCGTGATTCTCTCATTAACCCTGAATATTTAGCTTTGTATCAGCAAAAATGGATTCTCCAGCTCATTTGTTTACAGAGAGAGAAAATGAATTAAAATTCATGATTATGCCTGCATTCATTCAAGAGGCAAATGAAATCTTTAGAAGCTGTATCCAAACACCCGTGATTTCTACAGAAAGCATGTATCAATACCACCTAAATTAAAAAACCACTGTTTTACCTTGCTACTAAACAAATTACTAATGCTTCTTTACCAGAAACACTTGTGAAAATCCTCAAATTGGTTATCATCAATAATTACGATTTTTATGCTGTTTAGATACAAGCATTTTGATGGTTTTAGTGCCCAGTTGGTCACTGGCCTTAAAATATACAGCTGGGCACACAAAATCACAGCTCTCTTCAAGAAACTGGCTACAGTTCAAACAAAACCATCCCTAGAGCCACAACAACAATATTCCCATTGCACAAACTACCAGGCCCTGTAGACTTTGCAAAAAGACATAAAACGCCTGGGAAGCTTGAGTACAAAAATGAAGCTAGAGAGCGCTTGGTTCCACTACATGACACGAGACTGGCCTTATGATTGGGGTACTACACACATCACGGGAAGCTTTGCTCTTATGGTTGGGTTGGCTTTTCCTCAGACTCCATGACTGTGAGAGATAATGTACTCTTGGTGATAAATTCCCTACCTGTAAGGTGGGAACAACACATGATTTCTCACTGTTTTCACTGCCCTTGCCTATTTTAATACCATCAAGAGCAAGATTGCTGCTCGGTATATGTATGGCACTCCTGACAATGACACCCTGCAGTCAGCTGAAGCTCCAGACATCACTACAGTGCTTATAAAAAGAGGGCAACATATGGAAAGGAAGAAACATGACCAGCAGGGTCTTGGCAAAAAAAGGTAGCATGCCCATCCACCCACCATTAGTCTTGCTAATCTGCTTGTCTGCAGAGGACAGATTTCAGTTTGAGTCTCAAGTCTTTCAGAGATATTATAATGGACTTCTTAAAAAGCTTTTATTTTAATTTCATCAGATAGCATAGATTTGAAGGGGAAACATATTTCACTGTAGACAGGATCATTTTTCCCAAGGAAATAAATATATAAATCCAGGTGGACTAGAATGAACTGTTACAGAGATGGGCCACAGTAGCATTATGAGGGCCAAAAACATTTGGAAAAGTAAGTTACTCAGCCAATAACAATTTTGACACTAAATATACAATTGCCCCAATTATTTCTTTTTTAATAGAAAATGCTGATGCACGAGAAAAAGTTATTTTCCCTTTTTTTTTTATTTCTTTGAAAATGCTAGACTTAGCTGTTATTAATTCTGCTGGCACTATTTGTGAAATGTTTTCAATGGAGTAACATAACATGCAAGTGAACCTTTCTGTGAATAGAACAGACTGAATTAAAGCCAAAGGCAAATCCAATTTTTCCATTTAAGCTGTAAGCAGAAGAATCAGATTAATTAAAAAAAAGCTGATAAAAAGTGTAATCCTCCACATTACACGTTTTAATAAACTTCTAGTTTTTTACCTCAAACATCTTTCCATGACCCCCAAAAATATGATTTTTTTTACATTTCATTTCAACAAAAATTGCTGTTAAAGATTTTGGAATTTCCACATTTCCATGATTCCTTCAAATCTGCATTAAAAAGGACGCATTTCCTCCATATGGTAAAGCAGAAGTAGGATGATAATAATAATACAAAGGACAAGTAAAGCACACCTAGTACGATCATATTCACTAACAGCCACTTCCAGTTGGCATCCCAAAGTAAGCAACCACAAAAGTGGCCAAGATTTCCCCCATAAAATATTTCTATTTTTGTAAGAAGCAATTTCTCTATGGCAACAGATTTTTGCTGGTCTGTTAGATAATTATGATTCCAGATTTGTTTGTATATTGTACTTGCTTTCTTTCATTTTAATGAATATTTGTGAAATCTTGGACGAATCAATAGAACTACACAATATATACTCATCTATTCAAAATTTTTGAAAGAGATGCTAATCTACAAGTACATCATCGCCATACACTGGATAAAGACTGCTAATGTGAATGACAATGTATGACAGTGAAAAGATACAGTTTATTTAAGATTTAAATTTCATGTAGGTTTTATACTGGCTTTTTACTCACAGATGTATTTTACCCAAATCCATAAATCATAATCTTCTAAGTCCTGTGACAACAACCAGCTAAGCAATCATTGCCAGCCAGTGCAAAGGTACAACATTAACTACCAAAAATAGCTAGGTGTTTGGGAGATTAGTAAAAATCCAAGAAACCTTAAACGCTATCTGAAGGCAAAAAGGATTCTAACCAGGACAGAGACAATGTTTTTCAAGAACCAAAGTACTGTTAGCTTAAAGTTTTACTTAAAAAAAAAATGAATCTGATTTCTTTTTTTAAGTTCTAAAGCAAGAAATCTGATCTTTTGACACTGTTCTCTCATCAAGAGAAGTAAAAACCCAAACAATAAATCGTTAATTTACTGTAGGAAAAGGATTTAGCAGAAGAGACACAAGTACTGGCATATAAGGTGTAACATCAAAGAAATCTTGATTAGAGTAAGTACTTCTGCAGTGCCATTAGATGATCAAAAGTTAACATTACTTGCTTACTTGTGTATTTTTTAAATACTAAACCAGATTAAATTATTTAGCCAGAATAAAATAGAAAATCTGTGAGAGAATAAAGAGCAGAATGCAAAACTCATGACTCTCAAACCCAATCTTTTTAGGTGTGTTAAAATGATCATGCTGTCCATTTCCATCATAAATAGTATAAGCAAACCTAGAACAGGATTAATAAAGCTCATGAGACTCAAAAGAAAGAGACAGTGACACAAAGAGCAGCTTTACTTAAGTCAACCAACAGGACTCTACCAAATGCATGAAATCTATTTCCATGTAGCACAACGTAGATATCAAGTAAACATAATTGCCACTAGAAAAGTATGTTCTAATTGGCAATTTTTCAGTCTGATACGAAAAAGTATCTGTTGTAAAGCTAAAAATCAGGAGAACTTTAAGTTATTTCACAGAAGATCTCAACAGAGCCTTTTTCTGAAGAGTAAATTGTTTAAAAAAAAAAAAAGTTAGTGAAAACTTTTATTTCAGTGTTTTCCAAAATGATTAAACATAAGTCTTGTGACAAAATTTCTATTTCCAAATTGACCTAACTTAGAACTTATTATTAAACCATTCTTCAGCAAATGGCAATATTCACTGATACTTAACTCTAACCCAAATGACCCAGAACGTATTAATTCACTATAAAAACTATTACTACATTTTTCTTTGCAACACTAAACAACTATTTCACAATATGAGATTCTAATATAAAATATTATAACCTGAAAGTGCTTTATATTCTAGCATGTGCTGCATACAATACTTTACTATGGTTAGCATGTACTATAAATTGAGGGCCAAACTCATTTCCTGAGAAATACTTCAGCTTGCACATTAGAGGTCGATTTAGTAAAGCTTACTGAGCACAAGACTCCAATGAATTCAATACTGTGCTGGTCTGTCTTGAAGCAACAGATTGCAAATGAAAAACACTTGCCTCACTTCACTACATAGATTTGACACAACAAAGTAAGCAAGTAAATTATATTTTAATAGCTTCTAGCATAAACAGCAGCTTAGCTAAACTGCAACAAGACACAGTAACTGTAGTCAGCTTGCTCTCTAGATGCTTGATTTGTACAAGGTACCATGCAGTAAATTGAAACCTCTTATTCTTTTATGCCTCGAGGATTTGGATTCCAAAAATGTCATAGTTTTGCAAAGTCTTGAACCTTGTTCTTTCTGGCATTTCTTCTAGTACATTCAACAAGCAAATAACCAGGAAAGAACTCACAAGAAGCAAAGAATGAACCCACACCCCATAGAAACTAATGGAATATAAATCTCTAGTAAAGTGTTATGGAACTTGTAAAAAACCACTGTCATAGCAGAACTGAAGATTATTTCCTTCGGGCTTTTAAGAACCTGAGCAAACACAAAAATCTTTGGAATTACTTGTCTGTAAGCCCCACTCCCCAACAGCTCCTTGGTTTTCCCTGTGCTACTTCTGAAGCGGAAAGCTGAAGTCAAAGACCTGACAACCCCAAACTTGGTCCAGGAACTTACACATGGAAAACACCTCTTTATTGAGGAGCTGCACTCAAGGGTATTCCTTTCCAACTAATTCAGTAACCATCCTCTTAGCAGATGTACACCTTCCCCAGCTCATTACTTCATGCAAAATAATTTGTTCATTTTTAGTTTTCTTTCATAATTTGGATCCCAAACACAGAAAGGTGTGCCAAGACTACATGCTAGCCCGATTTATGAAACTACAGCTTGACAAACCCTTAACTAGACACATTTGTCACTAAAAGCCCAGTAGGCAAGAAGACAAACATTTTAAAAGGCAACTCACTATGTCAGGGCTGGCAATAAAGCAGAATACAAGAGAAACAATGTTTTTTAATTTTAACCTTAAAGTCTAGCACTGAATGTAAGGGCTTACAAAGAGCAGAGGCTGGATTTACAAGATCATTTGTAAACCAGCAAAGCTACAGTTCCCCAACACTCTTGTCAACATGAAAATTTCTCAGAAATTATCACACCTTGTTGTGGTATAAGAAAATTTTTTGCCCTGGGCTTTCAGTCTGAAAAATAAGTCTTTGAGCAATGAATACAACTAATTGATCTAAATATTGATGAATACATACATTATCTTCCAGATTTAAGAAACACTTCTTTCCCTTATTCATTACTTGTTTAAGATGTTATGAAAATTATGTATCTGCTCTGATCAGTAAACTTAAGGAGTGCAGTAATGCTTTGAAAAATCAATGCAGCATTAAAACTGAGGTTCCAGTAGCCAAGATAAAAGCTAGCAGTCATTCTAAATATGGGCTTTGTTGAATCCAAAACATTCATATTTGCATTTGCCAGGGTCATATCTGTATCGAAGAATACTACAGTTAGGCAGATAAGGGTAAAATGGTACTCATTAATTACTTCCCACTGTTAAATTTAAAGGGCAATAAAACCAGTTGATACTATAAAGGATGCTTTCTTTTATAAACCACAGGAGCAAGTAAGGCCTATTGCTCTGCAGTTATGGAGAATCATTTAGTAGAACTGATTTACGTTTGAATATATACTAATGTTGTATGCATTTGGCACTTTCTTTATGTGCTTCTCACCAGTTTGCTCTCTGGGTTATAAAAGAGAGACCTCTAGGCAAATGATACAATGAGTCATTAAACCCTTTTAGCCCTGAAGATGCTGTTAAACATTTATGTCACTTCTTTAATGACATTTTCCACATCACTGTTTTTTCAGTGTAAGGCAGACATTTACCAGGGCTCTGGTTTGGTGCCACACGTACACCTGAATATCCTACTTATCTTATCAGCTCAGAAATTGTTACTGACATCACAACAGCAGTTATTTATATATACAGAATTAACAGTTTGTTCTATTACTAATAACTACCAATTTCAAACAAAACAATATAAGCCATTTACTTGTTTTTTGAGAGTACAAATGATTGTACATGAAGACAACAGTATTGTAAAGTACCTCACACATCCCTGTAAATGTTAAATGGAAGTGTGTTAGATGCTGAATAAAAGCTAATTTAACTGAAACGTCAGACATATTTATCTTCTGTAATTCAATTGTATGTTATTGTCCACTGCAACAAACTTAGTTTTCCTGTATGTATTCAGATCAGAGACTTAATGAAGCAAAATAATCACACCTAGTATCAAATTCTCTTTCAAATGCTTTATATTGCAGTCTTAAGTTTCTCATTTTCTTCACCCGTATTCTTTTTCTAGTCTCATAATAGTTTGATAAAAAGTCATATTCCAAAAGCAAAGATTTAACCTTATTAGATTCAGGCAAAAGTTGTTGAGGCACATAATGGTCCTTCTGAGCAGCTGTTTTACTGTGGCTTGCAGTTGCATTTGGTTTTCTGTTTTCAGTGTTCACAAACTATTAGTTAAGTGGAAATTAAACTTCTGCTGGCATCTATTTGGATTCTAATAAAGGCGGAAAAAGGGCAGGGGTGAGGCATGCAAAAGGTTCCTAAACCTCCCTTCCCTCTTGCTTACTTTCTTAAAAAAAAAAAATTTAAAAAAAAATTAAAAAGTACATTGCTTTACTTAAATTTAGTTAAATCAGAAGCATTTCAAGACCAACATTTTTTCCAATCTGTGGTTAACAACATACCTAACTTATTTTTACTAACACATGCAAAATTGAAGATGTTGCAATGTAAAACAGTTAATTTCTGGTCTGAAGTCCTCAGACTTTATATCATTAAGTACATGGTTGTGAGTAGGTATGTGTGAGGTAGGATGAGAGAAAGGGGATGGGAGGGGCAAGAGAGAGAAAGAACACATGCTACAATCCTGAAGTAGCGCAGCCTCCTTCAAAAAGGGAATGCTGCAACACCCTTCAACAGCACCCTTCAAAAAGCTATTGTTTTAAAAACTTCAAAAAACAAGGGACATGAAAGAAGTACAAAGTTTCCCTCCAGACACATTTTCAGTTACCAATTTTCAAAACAATGTTGCAAAAGAAGAGACCGCAAAACTTCAGGTCAACCCTTCCAGGGAGTGTATCAAAGAAGGGAACAGCTGTAGATTTGACACAGTACTAACTTGTTCAGATTGCAATTCTTCTCCAGCTCCAACTTCAGCTCAATAGAAGATCAGTCATCAGTGAAATTAAGCTTTCTGTCCCATAATTTTCTGCCATCTTTATAAAGTGTGTGGATCATAGCAAGTTTCAAATGAGGAGGTCCAGCCCCCTGAGCAGTTCCACTTGACTTTCATCACATACCATGACTGACGAAGTAGAATGCCATTAAACACTGAACAGTGAAGTAAACTCTCTGAACAAAAACTGATATGCCTTTTCTTACAATAAGGAAATGGCATTTATACCCAGAGGAAGAGGGTCATGAGTACTTCTACTCAGACCTGATGACCAAAGAAAAAACTCTCAATATGTATTTTCTGTAGTGAAATAATCTAACCAAACCACAGGAAAATTCCAACGTAAACTAAAACCAAAAGCAAACACAGAAACCTTTTCCACATCAACATGTCACGATTTCTATGCAAGATCTTTGAGGTTATTTCATTTAGAAGCACACCAGACTTTTTATTTTGGAAACCGTAAGAAAGTTCACCATCATTTTGAAGATTTCATTTTCTCTTACTTAATGATTTTACACCTAGCATTATATTATCAGATTTTCATTTCACACCTGAGTAGTACTTACAGAAGAAAAATATTATTTCTTTTGTATGTGTTGGTTTTCTTATAAAATACTATGGAGTCATCAATTGGTGAAAACTGACTGCAATTAGCTTCAGGCTCCAGCAGTATATGTTTGTCCCTTTCAAGAGCTAAAGTAAAATTCACAAAAGAATAGGAACTCTTTAGTGTTTTAGTCAAAAATTCCAACAACTGCACCGACTGAACCATTCAAAGAACAGATCAATTGTATATTGCTGTGCTGAATTTAAGTACCACCGTATACAGCATCTAGCAATCAATGTTTCCCAAAATTGTTCAAGTGCCAATGTATTAGCAGAGAGTTTGGCTTCATAGCCTAGAGAGTCACATTTGAAATAACTAGCTGGATCAGTAAAGTCCTTTTGTTCATCTAGAAGGTCACCGATTTTGTATGAGTAAGACTACCATGGAGGGCAGGCCTCTGAGCAGGTCTTTAAAGACATCGTAACACCCCCTAGAATTTGCAAAAAACGCAAAGCACTGTTTTCTCCGCTTACCTTCGACCAAATGGTACTTAGCTAGTATTCTGTAGTATATAGCTGCATTTCATTAGAACTGTGCATACAGAGCTCAATCCTGTAAGTTTATGTACATTCTATGAGATAGGTACCTCACTAAGTGTTACCTCAATGAATCTTCAGATAAGTTGGAAATATCTGCGCATCAGCATCTGGCTTCCAAGCACTACTACGTTAGAACAAATACATGTAACTTGTTAGTTATTCTAGTTCAACTCTGCAAGCAGAGTCAGATGGAAATAGCCAGACTGAAATTTTATGAAAGCCATGTGCACTTTCATCAAACTTCCCACGGAACAGGGAAGACCAGCATCTGTGTGTACTCCCTGTCTCTCTTTTAACTTCAGTAACAGGAAAACATATTTATACTTCCTTACCCTCTTGATATAAGATCTAAACAATTTCTATTTAAATCAGTACAGAAGTCCAACAGACTTGAAATCAGAGTAATTTAAGCCACTGGAGTTAATCTACCAATATTTGTATGAAGGCAGTGTCTTACTGCCCCTCTATTTCCCAAACAAACTCCATGGCCCACAGCACCCCTTGCCCAGTTAGTCAGCAGGTATGCTCCAGGTCTCACTCCAGAGCTCTGCTTGTGCCTCTGGAGCAGGAGCAGCATTTGGAAAACACTGCCACCTCACCATACAGTCTCTTTTGCCTCTAGGCACATCCAACTCAATTATGATTGTATTGACCAGCAATTGACCAGACTCATAGCACTGGCCAAAGCAGAAAACTAATGATTACCTTTCCCAAAGAACAGGCACAGAGATCTCCAGCAGCATTTAAAACAGTTCAATGGGAACTGACTATGTTTCTCTCAGAGCTAACAGGCTACTGACATTTGAGATAATTTGAACAAAAATGTAAGCCAGAAGACAAAATACAGCATATAACATGATTTAGTGATCAATAACAACAGTGAGGTGAATGGAAGAGCGCTACATAAAGTAAGAGAAAAAATTGCCACAAGGTCAGTGAAGTGACTGCTAGAAAACTGCTGATCCCTGTTCAAATGGCCAAGAGGATTATTTACAGATTGTAACAGAACCTACAAATCCAGCTGCAACAATGAGTTTCTTTCCTTCTTCCATTCTTATGTATGACACACACTACCATCTGCTGGACAAAGTGCTGAATTAATCCAATAACATACACGGGTTTTTTTGTTGTGAGAACCCCTTTAACATCATGTTTACCTGAAGCAGATGCAAAACAACCTGGGATGTGTGGAGACCATATAGTGCTGTAAATGACCCCTTCGTGGCCTTTAAAAGTGCATAATGACTTCCCCACAGCTGGATCCCACTGAATAAAGTAAAAAGAAAACTGTTGAGGTATACAGTCAATAAGAAATGAAAGGGTTTCATACACAAAAAAACTTCATACATACAGAAAGGACTAAATGAACTTCTTTTTATTGTGTATCATGAAAAGCATTTACATACTTAAACTGATATCAACTGAGGGATAAAGCAACATCTCAGTTAAAACAGAATTTCAGCCTCAGTGTAAAAATAAAGGGGGGAAAATGAATCAATGCTGTTTCTTAACACAAAGAACTATCAGATCCGAAACAAATCACATTTTTCGCCTTCAGCAGAAAACCAACATACCAGCTTGGCTGTTTGATCCCATGAACCAGACACCACTAGCTGCTCTCCTCTAGTCTGGCTCCAGTCAACACTATATGCCTATAAATGATATAACAGCCTAGTTTAGAAAGAGGATTAGAACACAAGTTTGAGACCCTAGTTAGTCAAAATTTCATGAAATAGACTTTAAGATTGTATCATAACCAGCTAAAAAACCACACCAGTCAAGCACCACAAAGGTGCCAACAATGCCATTTACCTGAACAAAAATTATATTTAACACCTCATCTGGCATTAAAGGGTACATATAAGGCTTAGAAAGTATCCAAAAAAAGTAAAGATGGGACAAAATTGGGGGGAGGGGAAGTTGTAACAAAATCCAGAGAAACCCACCATCACTAGAAGTTTCTACCACTGTAAAAAGCCATAATTCAGACTGATTTCTTTTCTCTGATCCAATTTTATCCAAGTATATACAGTTTCTAATTGCTAGCAATGTAAATGCTGTCTCTTTTCTCTGACTTTGAGGTTTAGCTAACAATAAATGCTTTATGATATCTAATTCTCATAAGAAATATATGCCATAAAATATTCCTGATTTTCATCTTTTCCAAGTTCTGTGACATTTTTTTTTACCATTCATATCCTCAAATAAACAAAATTAAAAACTAAACTAATCATTTCAGCTATTAAAAAATTGCTTTTCACTGTGTAGTTGAAATAAGGTCCCTTTGCTCTGACAGTTTATTCTAACATTGGTCCCTGCCTTGACAGAGGATACCTTAACTCCATCCTTCACTGCTGATTTTTCAGTTCTGCTAACTCAGTGAAAACAAACATAGTTCTTCAAATCACTTCAAATCTTAAAGCCTCAAGAACATGTAGAACTTCCATCTTCAGATGTACCGTATCTTCACCTACACGATGGAAGGTGCATTCTGTCCTGTCTAGTTTTACCTCACACCAAAACGGCTCAATAAGCTGCAGTGGGATATGAACCATTTCAATGCTAAGGTGGATAAATATTAGCTGAACCAGTTTATTTGCTTCACCTTCTGACCCAGTCAGACCTTCCATGACACTTCTCAGAAACATGGCCACTACCTACCAGTAGTAGGTGATACTGCCCTCAACAGTCAGGCCACTAAGCACTGAGGATCTATACTCCAGCTGAGACAATCTGGTTCTAGCACAGCACCAGACCTAATCTGCAAGTCAACATACTAGATGCTATGTTTGTCTTGGATAGATGACAGCAACCCTGTTTTGAAGGTGAAAATATTTGGACCTGTGTCACCAGAAAAAAAAAGCAGAGAAGCTGGACTGGAAGAGAATCCAGCAAAAGCCAAAGTCTTCTACGGAAAGTTTCCTGTATGAGAAAGGAGACTGAGGTACCATTTAACTACTTCTGAGCATTTTCCTTCCTAAGAAATACTTCAATCTATGCTAGATCCTGCTTAAATTAACTGGTTTTCATCTATTTGCTTATTTCCCATAAGTGGAAGGCAACCACTGCCCACGGAAAAACAAAGCGCATCACCTGCAATTTTCCTTTTTTATTTTTACAAGGTCCTGCTTTGCATCTACTGAAAAGCATATTGCTCTAGCACCGATTTGTGATAGCTCCCTTCCTTGGGGATCTTATAATCCAAATGTACCAGACACTCAGACAGTACTTGACGAAAGCCAGATAACAAACTGAGAGCTAATTCTTTTGTTTGTTTTTCCAAACCAGGCCTTTACCTCTTGGCTCTTCTACTTTTGCTAGCTGGCTACTAGTACTCCAGCTCATTAAGACACTCTCCCTTTCAAACTGACTCCTCCTATTAAAATAATAACAAAGGAGACACACAAGTGCCTGCTCATATTTTAAGAATGGAAGATATCACAGTTCTCCAAAGTGGCTCCTGAGCTCCTCACAAACATTAGCCTCTCTCCTTCCCCCTGAATCTGTGCGATGGCCTGTGTTCAACTCCTATGCTGTTGCTGTTGGGAAATACCCAATGTGTACCCAACTACATAGTACGCCTCTTTCACAAAACAGTGCTATGAAGTCAGCTCAGTTGAAGCGTTTGGCTCTCATATTCATGTCCAAGATTTTCCAGAAAGAAGTAAGTCTCTGCGAAATACGCACCTGTGTCACACACTTCACCTAGCTGCACCTATTTGGGATGCATCAGATCTACTGCACAGATAAGGCAAAGCACACATATGGCTTTCAGCTCACTTGCAAGCTATCAGCACACAGATCTATGGAACACATGTTGCGACACGGATCTGTGTACATATGGCAGACATGTCTGGGACTGCCCAGCACTCTTCAGCTGCATCGAAGGCAATGGGACCTGGGTAAATTCTCCTTCGGGCAAGAATTACAAACAGAACAGACAACAGGCTGAGAAAAAGCAAGAGTTATTTTCCACTTGGCACTTCACAGGTCCAGGTAAAGGGAAGAGAATGAAAAGAAGAAGGTGTGGAGAACCAAGTAAGGTTCACTTTTATTCTTTCCTTTCCATGCTATCATCAAACACAAATCTACAGACACTTCAACAGAAGCTGTGTTGAGCAACTGGGAAAGACTAGTAACACAGCATAAAAGCTGTTAATATTTTATCTTCAATCATAAAATACATTAATACTAGTTTATGCCTAAACAGCAGCAAGAAATGCCTCAGGCAAGATGAAAAGATGATGAGAGAGAGATGTAAAAACATAAAAAATAGTTCAAAATAGATGTTCAGGCTCACTTTACAAGACAAATTTAATTCAAGCATTCTATTGTCTCACATTCCAGTGAGACTTCATCAAAACCAAAGTAAAGTAAACTAGTTTATTCATGAGATTCAGCAGTTGGTTAGTGCTGGAATAAAACTCATTGTCCTTTGATAATAAAGATGCGCTTTTAAATTAAAAATGCACAATCTTTTTGAGGAGGGACAATGATCTTATGTAGAAAACAAGAAACAGATCCCTATCAGTCTTGCATTAGAAATATTACAAAATGCAGTCACAAAACTGTCATTAGAAATGTCAGACAGGGATTAAGGATTATGAAGGTAGTCAATCATTTTAAAGAGCACTGTCTGCCAGTGTTTACCACAAACTATTAGGTGTATTTCCTCTGAGATCTAACCTCTTAACACATGCTTATAAAGAATCAGTACAACCCTTCTGTATCTCACAATAAACACTCTGCCCATGTTTTTTCTAACTCATGGTTGAATGCATCCACCTCCCCATGTTACCTGCTAAACTAAGACTTGGACACAGAAATGTTTACTTCACAAACAACAGATGGTGTAGCAGAACCAAAATAAACTTATGGACAGAATTTCAATGAGAAAACGACAGAGAAAAAAAAAATTGGTATTATGCTTTGCCTACATCTTTCTGTTACTATCATCAGCCTTTGAACGCTGTCATAAAATACTGATCACAACTACAAACTCATCTCTCAAAATTCTTTATTTACATAGTATCTGTATTAAACCAAAGTAGCAAAATTACAAAGCAGTAAGGTACAGAAGATGGGACTGTCATGTAACTGCAGTCACTCAGCTTTTAGCTTTGTGCTTCATATCTGAAAGATCTTGAGGTCTCTGTGACTACAAAACTGGATTTCCTCCATCATTTTTTATTGACTACATATCTGCTAGGTTATTTTATTCAGATTTATGTCATTTAGATAAAGCATCAGTAATCCAGGCTAAAACTGATTGCATCTAAAGTTCAAAGACTTGACAGAAGTGAGTGCAGAGTTAGAAAGAAAGCATGAAAAAAAAAAAAGGGGGGGGGGGGGGGACAAAAAAGATACTAAAGCATAAATGTCCTTAAAAATATGCAAATACATTTATGAACATGAATATAACATTCTTTTCTACCCATGTTACACTGCATAAAGGAACTGAGATTTTAAGAAAATCAAATGCAACAGTACCAAATCAAGGCTAAAAAAATACATGTTACCCCAATATTTGACTACTGTTATTTGCAAAGTATCATACAGATGCCAGGATGGAAAAGGATAAGCAGTTTGTGGGTACAACAAAAATCCTAAGGATCTGCATAATATGTATCACTCTATATCCTCAAGGATAACACTGCTATATACAACAGCTGTCCGATTTAGACCTATCCAATAATGCTCTTTACAATCACAGAATGACTGAAGTACTTTCATGCAACACAATGAATACTCAGCCTATAAGAAACCACAAATGCTATTTCTGAATATATTAGATTTATGTAATTAAGCAGTATCTACTACAGTGTATGAATGCACATACAAATATGTACAATAAGTAATTCACTTTATATTCAAAAAAAATCTTAAGTTATAAATTCATACTATGGATCCAAACAAAGTTAAAAAATAGACAACAATCCCCACTTTTGATTGTAAGTCCACAAATAAATCTTTTAATAATTCAAACATTAGGTAGGCTGTTAAATTTTTCAAGTTTGCCTGGTTTACCTCCTGAGTGTGCTCTTTATAGACTTGCAGTGGACCTTTGGTTTTAGCTGTATCCCAGATTTGCAGAGATCCATCTCCACTAGAAGTGATCAACACATGTTCATTATTCTCACTCCAGGTCACATCAAACAGGCCGTCATTCCAGTCAAAACTAAATCAGAACAGTGAAGATATTTGTCCATGAGAAAGCATGACATAGAAGTCTGGACTAGTTACATGCAAAGATCGTATTTCTTTAAATCACCCTCTTTACCATTCTAAGCACTATTTTTATATATTTGAGTTTCCAGTAAGTCTCCTTACAAGTAACTTACTTGTTATAACATAAACTTTTATAACTCTATGCCAGAATTTGTTGATTAAGTTAAACCATAAATGAGCCAAGGACCTTCCACACACAAAGAATGAAACCTGATTTCAGTCTTAAACTTGCCAGGCAAACAGAGACAGAGTACTCCATGTCTCAGTCTGGTCTCAGTCTGATCTACAGTTTCTCCAGGATGTTGCTACAGAGGTAGAAGCCCTTTGCGTGTAACAACTACGGTAAACAAAGAAATAAAACTGTTTGTGTTGGGAGAGCTCTATTCAATTCATAACACCATTAGGACCATGACTCAATGAAAAACCAACAGAAAGACAGTCATGAACATATTAAAGATCTCTACGCTCCCTTAAAATGGCCTTCAACACACCAACAATTCATCATACGGCATCTGATACCACGTATTAGTTGCTCTGCAACAACTGTCACTGACAGTGCTGTTATCTGATGGTAAATATCAATTTATTAACCCCCTTTTCACTGAAGGTTCAGCTAAGCTCAGGTTAAACTTCATGGTACCCTGCAGTAATGACAAGGGAAAGGGACGCCGCACACAGAGCATTTTGATAGAGAAAATGACACTGCTTATAGCTAAGGAACTTACAGGAGTCTCTACCACAAAGTAAGTTGAGTCACTGGAAACACAGAAATGAACAGTACTAAACCAGAGCACTTAGCAGAACTGACAGTGTGTTAAACAGCTTCAAAGAGTCTTGCTTTATAATTATCAATTAAAACCAGTTTATCTGAATCTGATTAACTATTTGTTAAGCATTTCTATTTCAGCCCTCTTAATCTAAACAACTGCTGTTTCAAAACTTTCTTTAAAAAAATTTTAGGTCAATGATGGTCAAGTATTAAACCCCCTCCTTCCTAACCTTTATTTTCCTCCCATTCAGAACACAAATCAAACTCCTGTCAAACCCTTAGAATACTGGATCTCCTAGGAAGGACCTCCATGACTTTATGCAGCTTGCTGCTTTATTTTCAGTGTAAGTCAATCAAAAGGGCATAAATTTAGGTGGCAATGCACTGTTCCTAAAAAACTAAAACTTTTAATTTCAAGCTAGGGCAGAGAGGCTGTTTTTAATTTGCATTGCCAGTTTTCCATAAAATGCTTTAGACTATGGAAAAGGTGCAGTCCAGATTACTTCCTATAACAAAATCTATACAACATAAACCTATCATTTGTATGTAAAAGCAAATACATTCATTTTTACATAAACACGAAGAAATGTATTCAGTAGATACTATAGCAAGGATATGATACTTTTTATCACTAACAAACCCACAAAATATTTGGATTGTGTCTTGTACTCACAGGTACACAAGTTTTTCTCTTGCAAAACAAAACATAAACCTCTGTTACCTCCTGAGCAGAACAATCCCAGCTTCATTTTGTTCCAGCACTGCCAGAGTTCCACAGCCTAAACCAGGAAAATAAAATATCATGACTAGATTCCCTCCATGCCAAAGGAAACTGCTGTGGTTCTGAGGTAGCTCCAGCGTACAAATACAAAGGGCATCTGAATTTTAAGAGGCCAAACAATTAGTTGCATAAATAAACATCTTCTTGTCTCATGTTCTCTAAAACAGTAATTCATTTACATTGGATTGGTTTTGTGGTGGGTTTTTTTTTTTTTTTTTGGTTTGTTTTTTTTTTTCACTCCAGTATACCTGTAGGTGAGGTTGGAAAAGAAACAACTTTGTTATAAAGCATGGAAGTGTGTTTGTTTTCCCTGTGAGCCTCACATGACTGACAGACCAGCACAGGGTTCCTTTTTATCTTTTTGATAACACAGCAGATACAAGACTTTGCTTCCTCCTTGAACCTACCAACACAAACACGGCTCACCAGAAATGAAACAAGTAAGTAATTCGGTACTGAGAAAACACACGTGGGTACTTGCTTCCCCCTGCGACTGGGGTATCGTCAAACTAATTCCACATTTACAGACTTTATTTAAAACGAATGCTTTCAGGAGCGATGCTCCCACGGGAAATGGAAAAGGCCCCCGTGCTGAGAAAAGCCCAGCTCGCCCCTTCAGCGGGACCGCGGGGTCGCCAGGGCCTGGCTGGACGCTCGGTGTCTGCCTACTACAACAGCTAAAATTTTAAGGAGGAAACATTTTCAGGCGCTTCACCGACACTGGGTACGTCTCTACTGCTATATTTGTTCTTGACCCTATAAAATTAGTCCTCCCGCGAGAGGCTCTTGTGAAAAACACCACCAAGAGAGCGGGTTTGTATCTTCGTCAGCCGGAGAAAGCGGCGGGCTGGGGACCGCGGGGGCAGGCCCCAGGCTCGCCGTCTGCTCCGGCACCAGCTCCCGCCCCAGCCCCCTCACACAAAATGTACGCTGCACCCAAGGAAAACAAAGGCAACGGAAAGGGAAATCCCCAAACGCTTTTACAGACGCTGACTCTCGTTCCG